GTTCAAAGAGCGGATGTGAGGTTTACCTTGGTTTCTATGGCATTTGAATCATATACGGTTTTGACACAATGTGGATTGTCACGTCTGATGTTAGACGTCTACTGATGTGTCTCCTACAGAAAGTCTCATTCAACACTTTCCTGAGAAACAAAATCCTTGACGCATGACGTCTGTTTCTGAAGAATTTGGATGACGCTTGACCAGTTTCTGGCATCTTTGGAAATGAAAAGCTAAAAAGGTTTCAACAACAGAACAACCAGATCCTTTGGTCCAACATAGACTGACTCGTCCAACATTGTCTTCTTTTTAAACACAACCTGAACAGAACGAAACTATAGGACAGAACTGTGCTTCAGAAAAGTATTTTAATGTTGTTTACTTTCAGTGAAGCCTAAACACTTTTCCAAACATTGAGCATCAGAAGCCCAAGACGACCACCATCAGGACCCGACCTGATTACTGTCTTCTTTATCAGGGAGAAACACACACCTGAAGGAAAAGAGAGGAACAACAGACTGAGACAGAGTAGCGAGAGGTGGGTGAGGTCAATGATCTGGGGTCTCTTATCTAAATAAGATATGGCATATCTTATATAGCATGATAAGCACAAAACATATTAGAAAGGAGGTGGGAGACGGGGGGGGGGTACAGGAGTAGACGGGAAGGAGTCGACCATGATGTATGCTACTGCTACTGCGAAAAGGATGTCTTTGAGCAAAATCTGAGATCTTCTATGGACAGGAGGAGTAGGAGATGGGGGTGGCAGAGATGGAACACCACAAAAAAATTGACAAGATCAGAACAGCTGTTCCTCAGAAATGAGGAAATGAGGAACAGCTGTGGCTGGTGAGAATTGGACGGATGGAACATTTGCTGATAAGCGATTTAATGGACAGGATGGACATGAGGAGGAATTAGAAGGTGGACCAAGAGGACAGATGAACAATAATTCATTAATCTAGTGGGAAAGGACAAAGAGATGAAGGTGTGAGGAGAGAGGAGATGACAGATGGAGGTAGATGATCAAATGACGCCAAGTACGAAGCAGAGAAAGCCTCGCCTGGTCAGGACCCTGTTGATACTGTACATCACTTGTACTGTTCTGAGTGAGAATGAGCTTTTTACCAGAGGAAATGTCTGCTGGAGGACAGGAAACATGAGTAGGGCTCCATCATTACTAAATGTTATATTCCTATATGACTGAGATTATTGTATATTATGGAGATCAACAGCTACATATATTTAAAAAAATAAATACAATTAATTCAAAGTTCATTACTCATTATTCATTTTCCAAAAGACATAAGGAATTACCAAGATGTTCCTTTAGGGCAACATTACTGTGACATAATGTGTCATTTCTCATTTAACCTGAGCCAAAGTGGAGCAGAGTGGACGGATTTATATATTTATTCAAAGAAAGAGTGAAGTGGAATTATTTATGCGTGATATTTAGACATCAAAAGATTAACCTGAATCAAATTACGCAAATACAACTCGATGCCAACACTCAACGACGCCCCACTATGGCACTGGGTGTATTTTAATTGCTCAGTGCCTTCAGTGTCTCTGCGTTTTATTAATCTCCGCGCATTTCTGCCCTATATTAATAATAATAAAATGTCACTTTAGGATTAAGTCATATTCATACTCATTCATTCACTTTAGGATTAAGTCATATTCATACCCGTTTTCATTCCTTTAAAGTTAAACTGTTGCTGGTTTCAAGTGTTTCAAGTGTTTGAAGTCTGCCTCAAATGCGTTTTGGATGCCGGCGCAGCGATTACGCACGAATGTGGAACGAACCAGACCGAGGACAGAACCAGACCGGGGACAGAACCAGACCGAGGACAGAACCAGACCGAGGACAGAACCAGACCGGGGACAGAACTTACCAAGTGAGTTCCCGATAAGTGACACGAAGAACACGATGATGTAAGCCACGATGAGAACCCATTCGTACTGTTTGGGGTGCAGGTACTCTCTCCAGATGTATCTCAGAAGTTCATCGTCCTCATCCGCGGAGGAGCGCAAAAGCAACTCCGTGCCGTTGGCCATCTGCGCCGAAGCCAAATATTCCTCACAGTTAAAATTCCCATTGATCCCCGACATTCTTCCAGGTGTTTGCTGCTGTGTTGTAGCCCGTCCTGACTGTGGCCGTGCGTCTGCAGTCAGTCTGCAGTCACCGCAGGTTGTTGCGCAGACTGACTATGAGGACGAGCCACTCGGGTGCGATAAAAACGCGCTCGCGGACTTCGTCAGTGTGACGTCGACTGCCCCCACCCCACCTCAACCGCCTCCCCCCTCGAGTATCCAAGCATGGCTATACAGTACACATATAACACGTATTACTGCAATAAACACGGGTGTTAAAATTCATGGCTCATTCATTAGAGGATAGAGTATGATATGAGATGGGACACACTCTGAAATTTACACAGGTTTGGCCAGTAAAAAAAGTTAAAAATATAAGTATATATGTATTAATAAATAAATAATATATACATTTATTAATAAATATATATATACATATATATATATGTAATACAGTACACCAAATGTTTCAGGGTTGGGGGGCATTTTAGGTCCAACACAGGAGCAGCATCAGAGAGTCAAACTGGACAGGGAAGAGACACTGGAGCAAACAGAGAACAGAGAGGACAGACTGCACTGAACAGGTGAAGGACAAACAGGACTGAGGACGGAGACACAGGGAAGGCAGGCCTAATGGAGCAGACGCACGGGCAGTAGAAGAAAACCAAGACAGACACAGACCTGTGGGTGAAGAGTCGAGCCACAAACAACAAGGAGAGCGTGAGGGAGAGGGGTATGTAGAACGCAGCAGCAGGTGTGAGGGGTGAGACTAATGAGGACAAACAGGTCACAGGTGAGTGTGATGTTGTGATTACCCAGGGAGAGACAGACAGAAGGACAGAGACACAGACTGACTTGGTGGTACTGTGGACATCTTCTGCATCCATTCACCCTCTCACTTCTAATTCTCCAACACTCTAACTATAATCAAAGAAAAGACTAAATTAAAAAAACATATATTGTTATGAGAACATAAAGGGTGAATTAAACAATTTTTTGCAAAACGTTTGGATATCCCTTTATTTAGGTTTTTCCCCCCATTTTGTTCCCCAAAACTAAAAATCCTTAGACGACAAAAAAAGCAGTTTTGTGATCTGTTGCTAAATTGCGAAGAATTAAAATTAGATTGGAAACTCGGATTGACCCAAACATCTTGGAGAAGTGTTACTTAAATGTAACAGGTAGGAAAAATAGCTGTAATGTTAAGATTTGATTTGTCTGAGAACTTTTTGACTTACCTCTTTAGTCCTTGTTCTGGACTCCTTTTCATTAGAAGGTACAGGTTGTTTCTTATATGGCTCAGGGGACATAAAGATGGGCAGATGTACCCACAAAACCACACACACACACACACACACACACACACACACACACACTTGGGGGCAGCACTGATTAAGAAACAGAAGTGAGGCAGGTATGATTTAAACAGAAAAGTGAAAGAGAGAGATCGGCCCCGTTGACTTTAATCTCATTTAATAAACTCTTTAATAAACACTAAAAGCCATCAGGTTGGTTCTTGGTTTTATTGTAGACCATTTGCTGGTGAATGCTGTCGGCTTGATTTGTCGGCTTTAACTGCTTCAAATTCAGCGCGAGACTCTGGAAGGAGGCAGTTAGTGAGAAATAATTACAGAAATGCCCTGCAACCAGAGGGCATTCCATACTTTTATTTAACCCTGCAGATTAAATTGTACACTGCTCTCCATCAAAGTAAATGATATCGTTAAGCTGCAGTATGCAGAAAATTGTTAAAAAATTGTTTTTATTGAAAATCAACAGAGGTCCGTGCTCATGGGCTCAACGGCAGTGGCACTCCCTTCTATGTGGATGCAGAGATAAACATAATTACCAAATGTAAATACACCTGTGGGTGGCAATAATGCAACTCAAAGACATTTGTGATAAAATCTAAAGAAGAAGAAGGAAATAAGGAAGAAGATGAAAAGGCAAAATGCAAGAAGAAAAATACAAATTTATGGAAAATAAAAATAAGATATGAGGTATGAGGTAAATATTCGCAGAATTGGCCTGCTGCTAGCTGGAAGAGAGCAGTATTAATATATACATATATATATTAATTTGGTAAAAAGGCAAATAAGGCCCGTCCTGTCCTGAGCCATTGTTTGGCAAAAACATTGTTAGAGAAGCTAGGAAGGTAGGAGGAATGGTGTAATCTGCAGCAGATAATCAAACCGATTTGTACAGATACATCATAACAAATTAACAGTAATAGTCAGCAGTGCTTACTGTAATACATACCAGTGGTATGGTTGATGTCAAACCACTGGATTCACACCCTTTGCCTCCTGTTTTCTGCATCTCCGTCTCACATCAGTGCGGTGACATTAGGTATTCTACACAGGTCTGAGCTGAGACAATTAAAATGACATCCCTGACTTCTCCAGCAGTTGTCACTGCAGAGCTCCGTGACTGTGACATTGACAAAGTTAAGTCTAATTGCTGCTGTCAGCTTTTTGTCTCCATCAGACAAAGATATTGACTGGAAGCCTGTGCATTATGGGTAAAGTGATCTAGATTGTAATGTAACAGAAAATTAAACGGCTGATTCATTATGGACAAGAGTTTGTGTGTGTGAGGTCGGGGTGATGGGGATTGAGGAAGCAGTTCTCAGAGGAAGCGCTGGCGGGTCTGATAAGTTAAGCATATGTAGCACGATGAGTCATAGACAACACTTGTTTGGAACTGCGTGAAAAAATCAGAAAAAATGAAACTGTTGGGGAGCCATCTGTGCTGAGAGAATCACAGACTGGAAAGGCTCATCCATCACATGACCTCTACTCTCAGTGAGAGCAGCTTTCTTCTGCCAGAGGATACAGGTAGAAAAAGGCTGGGAGGTTCTTAAAAAAACTCATTTTGTTTTTGTCAAATTGGGAGAGGATAAAAAAAGATTACCTTTATCTCCTGTATCTAGTATGTGCTGATAAAATCTGTCTGGAGTAGAGCACCGTACCAGGGCGGTACGTTCTGTTGTTGTTGTTGTTTCCGCTCACTCGGTTTAACAGCGTTCTGTGTCGATACTTTTCTGAAATATTTGCCGTACCTACTGTGAGAAGAACCTTCATGAAGGAACAAAGACGTTTTGTCAAGGACAATAATGTACGGCAGTGAAATTGATCTGTTCATTAGATATGATTCAACTTGGAACTTGTTTGATAACCTGTCTCCAGGATGTTTTTGTTTTGTCTTTTATGAGTCTGGGGCCAGACGACTGAGTGGGTGTTGTCATTAAAAGCAATTAAAAGTATATGGCGTCCTGTGTGAGTAATATAGGAGAATATATATATGTACGGGAGCATCTACATCCGAGTGGATTCTACTGGGACTACCACGTTGAACTGCAGTCATTTCATTTTAGCCGCGTACGTTCTTAGAAGGAAATACTGAAGTTAGTACAGTACAATCATAGACAACGTGCTACTTCACCACTAGGTGGCACTAGAGTGGATTAAGAAGTGCTCTGTGTAACAAATGGTTTTGTTACAATACTTTAAGGCGCAGGTCATGCATGTTCAGCAGCAGTTTCTATCCTTGACTGTGTGTTACACAACCCCAAGGCTTAAAATCTAGATTCCTGACAGAATGTTACTTTAAAAAAAAAAAAAAAAAAATTGATTTGTATGCTGCAGGCTTTGATTTCCAAAGTATAAGTGATAATTTACAAATGGGTTAAAGTTTCTTTGTTGAAAGACCTCAGCTGTGACTCTATTGTCCCTCTTCATACTTTTTATGACGTGACAAATAAAAGATGTGCATCAGTGAAACTGAAGTGCCTTCAATTAAATCAGATATCAAAAGGAGTCCAGCTTTTGTGTGCGTCACGAGACGCGTCCCACTCATGGGCAACAGACTGACTCAGTCACTCGTGTTTATCTTCTTTTCCATTGAACCAACTGTCATGGCAGAGCTGTTTTTTTTAAAGTCTGCGCTCAACATCAGACACTTCTCTGTCGTCCTCTGTGAAAGCAAGTTCAGACAAGATCTTCAGTCTTCATTATTGGTTTTCAGCAGCGAAGGGGAGAGGACAAAGTAGTTCAGTGTTAAATATGACTTTTAAGAGAATACAAACAGAAAATTGTTCTTTTCTTTACGCTTTATTTAAAGACTGAAATTCTCATTATCTCAGTCTCACCAAAGGTTTACTTTTTTAATTAAAATTTAGACGCAGCAGTGAGAAATGAGCTTCTTGAAGGAATAAAAAACTGAGTTGGAGATAGTTTTCTTTTTTTAATTTAAGAATTCTAAACAAACTGTTTGAATGAACCTGAGCCTTGAATAACACTACAAAGTTAATTGAAAATTTCCCATAAAGTATATGGATTTTTTGTTCACAAATTGACATCTTCCTCTGCTGAAATAACAAAAACTCTATAAAACAGGATTATACTATTGGAGATAACTTTGCCAAAGTTTCAGAGGCAATCATTTAAATCCCCTTATATTTCAGAGAAATGTCAGTCTAACCATAATAAGCAAAGTGCAAACTCACAAATTATAGCTGTCTCTGCCTGTCTGTATTAAACTGTTTTTGGAAAATAACTCGCATAGAGTTTTGTTTTTTTTGTTGTTGTTTTTTAATAAATACACCCAGAATTTGACATTCCATCTGTACATTATATGGTGAAGTAATGAACTCGTGATCCTGATGACAACATAAACAGTGTTAAGAAATGAGGTTTAATATCCTGTCAGAATTCTCCCTGGGTTACTTGTTTGCAGTTACGCTAGAGCGTAGTTATAAACACAGAGTAAATCACGACAAAGCCTCCGACAAGGAGAGTCTAGTGGATTAAAAGGTCAAAGGTTATCAAGAAACGTTTACAGTTTTAATTAAATATAAAGAGTTATTATACGAGGAACCCACATAATATTCAGTATTTCGTGAAAATAAAGCTGCAGTGTATATAAACTGCCTCTGGTCCACATGGCTGTTACTTGAGAGAGAGAGAGAGAGAGAGAGACGTTAAACTTTTGTTATTTTCCATATTTTGGCTTTTTGATGTCGAGTGCTTCTGTAAAGTAAATATAATTTAGAAGAAGGATGATGATGAAAAAAAACTTGTGTCAATTATTTTATATTAATAGAAGAAATATGTGCAGAGAAATTTATTCGAATTGTTATGGGGTCTTAGAAATTGTGCTGGGCACAAAATCGTTTTGTGTGATTGTTTTCATTTATTTTCACAGTACGACTCTTCATCACATTCAATCTCTGTGCTTCTTTATTTAATTAGTTTCTTGTGTAATTGGTTCTGCAGGAACCCAGTGGCCTCCTGTCGTTGACCAGTTGAAGTCTTTGACACTGTTTTCAGCACATGGACTCCTCCAGGTTAAAGGGGCCCCCTGTCCCTGCCATTAAAGTACTACAGCAATCACTTACATAATATTGCTATTCTCCTACAGTAATTCACACATGCATCATGATGGTGTCCATTTGTAGCTCAGTGATTCCGAGCTCCAATTTTTCACCATCTTTGTCCACTGACAGGAAGGTTTCTGCGGACGCTGTGTTTTGCTGTGTAGTTCACTTTATTATCCTGTATGGGGTGCTAGAAATGTTATTAAAACGCTGTGGTCATTGAGGTGAGAGGACACAGATGTTTTTGATTTTATAACACCCTGAACACATTACTTAAAAAAGGACCAGAACAAGTTATATTATCAGTCTGTGAGACGAGTGAGCCTCGTGTTATTAGCCAAACACTGCTGTCGTCACCAACGCAAACACTCGTCGTTATACGTAGCTCACAGCAGGAGCTATACACCTCCAATTTTTTTTAAGTCACTTATGCCTTTTCCACACACAAAACCACAAATGATAAACCTTGACATTTTCATTTTTACCTCAGAGTGATCACTTCAACTTTCAATGCACTTTCAGGAGCTCAGAATCTGTGACCATTTTACTCTAATTTATGGCATGTTTTAGTTAATTGATTTCATTTCTTTTAGAGACTCCAGTGGATTGAATAAATCTGACTGATTATTATTTCATTTAGCAGAGCTTGTTTCTAAAAGTAGTACTGTGGATTGCATATTTTTATATTTATTAATTTGACTCCATGACTCTGCAAAGCAAGATTATTTTTTGGGGTTTGTCCATTTCCTGCCTTGAAATATCAAGAGATGATCAGAAGAGTAAATGATATACATTTTACTGACTACTGCAGCCAAATGTGTATATCATTTACATTTAATTACTTAAACATGAGACAGGAATCATTAACCCTTACTCTTCCCTGGAGTCATTAAACAAAGGTGCAGTAATGCAGGTCCTCTCTGACTGAAGACTGTGCTGAGGAAATCAGAGACACGTCTCCAGCACCTCGGCTGCTAACAAACGTCTTAATTACATTCTGACTGAAGTGAAGTGAAATAATTTCTTCTCATTTTTGTTCATAGGAAGGCCTCCTTTTCTTCTCTGGCTTTGCTAATAATAAAATATCTGAAGTGTTCTTGAAACACCAGCGATGATGTGAACTGATTGAGGTTGAAAAAAAAGGTTTTACATTGGCATTTTTTTTAATGGAGAAGGAAAATGTAACTTTTTTGATGTATTTTTGATGTTTTATTTTTCACAAGACTCAGTGTTTATTACCTGGAACAATCACTATAAAAACTCTCCATGTTATGTTTGAAGAGAAACACGTTTTCACTCTCATTTCCTCTGCCTTGTCACTGTAAACCTCCCCTTTGTCCAACAAAAGAAATTGAAATAAAAACCAACAAAACACTGTGTTAAAAGAGCATCACATTTTCTAGAAAGTATTGCAACCCCCACGTAGCTCAGTTGACCTCTGTGTGTTGTGTCATAAATGCGACAACTGTCACCATGTAATTCCTCGTGGAATTCTTGGCTTGTAGAAAGTATAGTAAATCATCTTTACCTTAACATACATCAGATACTAAGTCACAGAGAAACAGCACCCTGGAATGTTCACACAGCTCCACAACTAGCACAACTAATATATGGCATTTAGAAAAAACAACTTTTTTGTATTATCAGTGTTTTCTTATCATTAATTGTGTAAATAAATCCCATTGCTGTTACCGTAAAAACCTGCCTAAAGAAAAATATAGCAAATCTCTAATTTTAAAAAATGCAAAAACAGCTACAACAAGTTTTGACCAGTAAATAGCTAGCGGTAGCTTAAAGAGTTAGATGTTTGTATAAAAAGAGTAAAGTAAAAGCTCTAAAATAGGAACCAAGCTCATTT